TGCTTTTTTTAAAAAAAATACATTTTTCTTGATTTCAGAGAGGAAGGGGGAGAGATAGAAATATCAATGATGAGAGAGAATCATTGATCAGCTGCCTCCTATATGCCCTCTACTGGGGATTGAGCCTGTAACCAGGGCATGTGCCCTTGACCAGAATCAAACCTGGGACCCTTCAGTCTGCAGGCCGACATTCTATCCACTGAGCCAAACCAGCCAGGGCTGTTGTTGCTTCTTAAACTCTAGTTCCAGCATGGCAGGCTCTCTCCAAAATTACCTGACTAAAAAGACTAAAAAAAAAAAAGAGAGAGAGAGATTGTTTGTATTGTAGGAGGGAGAATGGTAGCAGGGAACAAACCAATTGTAGTATGAGGTAAGGCTTCAAATACTGGCTTAAGATCTACCTATATTAATGTCACATCCTATATAATAAAGAGGTAATATGCAAATTGACCCTTACACCCTCACAAGATGGCTACCTACAACCAGGCCAGCAGGGGGGTTAGTGAGGGATGACCAAATGACTGAATAGCAGGCTGCATGGGGCAGCCAGGCTGACGGGGGTTAGTGAGGGACAACCAGGCTGGCAGGGGCGCAGTTGGGGGTGACCAGGCCAGCGGGGGTGGTCAGTCAGGGCGACCAGGCTGGCGGGGTTTTGGGGGGCAGTTGGGATTGATTAGGCTGGCGGGGGTGGGCAGTGAGGGGCAACTAGGCGGGCAGGGGGGCAGTAAGGGGTGACCAGGCAGCAGGCAGGTGAGTAATTAGGAGCCAGCGGTCCAGGATTGTGAGAGGGATGTCCCACTGCTGTTTTAGGCCTGATCCCAAGGGGTCCCAGATTGGAGAGGGCACAGGCTGGGCTGAGGGGACCCTCCCCTCATGCACCAGGACTCTAGTATTAATATATAAGAATTGGTTTACAGAAAAGTTAATCATATCTGACATATGAAAGCTTTCAGGAGTAAGTGTTTAGTAGCTTATATATTTTAGTTGACTCCTTCAACACAGATGTCTTTGTGTTAACATTGGAGTAAATTATTTGCTTTGATATAAAGAGTTATCCCTCTTCATTCTAAGTTGTGAAACTCTTAAACTTTGAACTGTACAGCTATTCAACTGTATAGAGAACAAATATCTCAGATAATGTGTTTTATGTAAAATACTTAAAGAGAAGTTAGCATCTATTGTGCATGTGGATATATTTAATAGGCAGCATCTGTTTTTAGTTGTTAGATTTGGTATGTGTTGTACTGCTTAGATTTGAAACTAGGAATTGGATATTTACTATATTCAACCTAATGTATTAATTTTTCTTAGATAAGAAAGCAAATCTAGGCAAAAATGCAAGCGTGAACACACAACATGGACCAGCAACAGAAATTGCTGTAGAGACCACCATACCCAAACAAGGACAGAATCTATGGTAATGTGAGCATTCATCTGGCTGCTCTTTTTCCTTTCAATGTTAAGGAAGTATTTACTATATTAACACCAGTGAGTTAGTGATTATCTATTCAGATATTTTGTGTTACTTTGATTTCTTGGATATGTAAACTCATTGCTTTAAAAGCAGACTTGATTTTTTTTTTTAAATCCTCACTTGAGATATATATATATATATATTTTATTGATGTTAGATAGGAAGGGAGAGGGAGACATCGATGTGAGGGACACATTGATTTGGTTGCCTCTGGACGGTGGATGGAACCTGCAAACCTAGGTATGTGCCCTAACCAGGAATTGAATCCATAACCCTTTGGTGTACAAGACAATGCTCTAACCAGCTGAGCCACCTGGCTGGGGCAAAGCAGACTTGATTTTTTGATAAATATTTATTTGTTCTAAGTTTGGAATTACATTTCCCCCCCTGTAATGTAACCTTGTATATGATAGATCTTATATAGCATTTGAAGGGCTTTTCAGTCCATTTGCAAATAGAAATATTTAGCATTTTCATTAATTAAAAATAACTGTATACATAGCCATTAATTTTCCTTTGTGTTGATTCTACTTTTAGGCAGGATTGTGAGAGGGATGTCTGACTGCTGTTTTAGTCCTTTCTACTGAAAGGACTCTTTGTGATTACATTAATTGCTTTAGCTTTGATAACCTTTGGTTTAATGACCATTTATCTTTTTGAATGTCCAAGTTTACTCTTTGAAGGTGTATGAACAAATATGCCTATAACTTGATAAAATTTGTCTCATTATATTTTAGTAGGAATTGTGAGCTCCAATGTCCGTGGATAAAGTTAACATTAGGCATGAAAATAGTAAACTAATTCTTCTTGTGAGCAAGTTTGGAATTCTGCTTTCCTAATTCCCACCATCAACCCTAGATTCCTTTCTTAGTGTTTGACTTTTGACCCCTGCACCCCACCCCCAATTATTCAGGCCTTTTTTGCCCCTACAGGTTCTTATGTGATAGTCAGAAGGAACTGGATGAGTTGTTAAATTGCCTTCACCCTCAGGGAATACGAGAAAGTCAGCTTAAAGAAAGACTAGAGAAGAGGTAAGGATTTTCGTCTTGCTGTTCACATCTTAATTCTCTTCAGCATTAGATATTACAAATGTCTTAGATTTTTTTGTGTGTGTGTTTTTTTTTTATCCATTAAAAACTATCATTTTTAAAACATCTAACTTTTATATTTCTTTTGCTTGGTATTTTCTTGGAACGTCATACTTATTTAGAAAAATATGCTTTTAAACCATGTATATTCAGGGTAACAGGATTAGTCATTGAATAATGCATGCCATGCAACACACTGAAATCCTCTTTGTTGTTAGGCAGCAGTGCACATCAGTTGGTGATCAGAAGTAATTCTGTCAGTATTCAAAATAGCCAAAAAATGAAAAAAATCTAGATGTCCATCAACTGATGGATAGATGTTGTTCTTATATCCATAAATTCAGCCATAAAAAGGAACAAAGTGCTGATATATGCAACAACATGGTTGAACCAAGAAAATAGGCTGAGTCAAAGAAGCCAGATGCAATAGACTGCATATTTTATGATTCCATTTATATGAGACTTCCAAAATAAGTAAATCCACAGAAAGTAGATTAATGTTTGCCTGGGAATGGGGGAGAACTGGGAGCCACTGCTAAAGCTGTGGGATTTTTTTTTAATATATTTTATTGATTTTCTACAGAAAGGAAGGGAGAGGGATAGAGAGTTAGGAACATCGATCAGCTGCCTCCTGCACGCCCCCTACTGGGGATGTGCCTGCAGCCAAGGTACATGCCCTTGACCGGAATCGAACCTGGGACCCTTGAGTCCGCAGGCC